TCTTCTGTCTCTTAGGCGCAATGTATGCGTCTATTGGGGTGGACTTCTCAACAAGTACCCCCTTCAACCGGAGCTTCCCCGCGGTCGCCCTCAAATCCTTTGAGGTAGTGATGTCGAGAGACCGCTTGACGGAACTCCTTGTCAAGGCAGGTTCAGATAGCTTCAGCACGCCAGATTGGCTGGCCACCAACTGTTTTTGGGAAGGAGAAGGAAGCTGGGAGGCCGCCATAGCAGGACGAGCAACCGCGGCGGCAGGGGAAGCAGGGGCATTGGCTCCAGGATTAGGCGGTCTGGCAGAGGAGGCGTATCGCCGAGTACCTGTGAAATAAGTAAAGTTAAAGTAAAGAATATGGGAGACACGCTCAACACGAAAAGAAAACAACTAACCGTGAAAATGCCGAATAATATCCAAGGCATTATCGTCCCCCTTTGGGGGAAGACAAATCTGGAGAGCATTCATGAGCCGCTTTAGTAATGGTTTGACAGACTCAAGACCGCGAGTGTCATTGTTCCAATCCTTCTTGTCGCCGGACGCAAAGCCAGTAGGCGGCTCAACCTCTCCGGAATACCATGTATCCGCGGGGCGAGCGAAGAAATACTCTTTGAACCAGGGGGAATCCAACTTCGGCGCCCCGCTAACGATGCCGACCCGCGATTCCCGACGATAACAAGACCAACAATTTTTGGAACCCCTCATCTTATACAACTGACGAAACGCATCAAAAGAAGGGGTCTCACCTATCTTTGCACAGGCGGCTCTGAAGACGATCGAGTGGAAAATTATGCCAGGAGACAAACGCCCCAGCGTACAGTTCAGAAAAAGGAGTGTCCGGGTGAGAATAGGGTCGATAGGGAAAGTTAGACCCATCCGAAGATGCTCCACGTGGATGGGAATCCAACCGCCCGGACAGGAGCCAGACCGTCCAGCGGGAGAAGGAGCCGCATAATCCCAGTTGGTAGGAAGACCGTGCGTCTTCAACTGTCGGAGAACCTGTCTAGGGTTGTACGCGGCCTCGTTGGGCGGTCCCTGTTCGTATGCGCTTGAGGGTACAGGCTCTCCTTCCCACATGTCCTCTTGTAGTCGGACGCGGTATGTAGTGTCATGAAAAACTTGGAAAGCTCCCACGGGCAGCGCGTCGGACACAGTCAATGATGGTGATAATTCCCTCCCTTCATCCTCTGGGCGGTCCGCGGGGCCACTATCAGAGGAGAGGGTGACCGTCGTATTGTTAGGCAGCTCGCTCTCCGCTTCAGAATAGTCAAAATTCTCAAGGTTGTCTCCAACCAAGGAGGACGCTCCACGCCGTCTGCCCGACGTTCCCGCGTCAGGAGCCATATCCAGTTCTACCCCTAAAAGGTCATAACGAAGACCGTCTAAGTGTTGCTAAATGAACCGTACCAAGCACATCGCGCGTGTGCAGTCAAAATTCTGAATCCTATCCCTAAGAATAACCGCACAATGTAGAAGGTTGAAAATAGTACCTGGAATTGCTTGCCGACTCCCAGATGGCGGTCTGCCAGATCCGCCTCCAGACTTCGAAGACGACCGGGGAGCGCTAACGCCGGCACTGGAAGTGCGAGCGTCGCGGGAAACTGTAGCAGCAACGTCACTAGAGGTTGTGACGGCAACGACGTCGCTGGAAAGATTCTGATTTTGGCTATCGGAGTGACTAGTACTCTGTGATTCGATGGCCATTTGTCTCTGAAGCTTCCTTTTCGCTCGTTTCTGACGTCGTCGGAGTTTAGAAAGGAAGTTTGCTCTTAGCGGAGACAAGGAAACGTTGTCTCGAAGATAGGAGGAGAGGGAAAAGCGAGAGCACCGAGCAATTTTGGCGAGAGAATCAGGAGGAAAAAAACGAAATTTCTTGAGAGCGGAAGAGTGAAGAGAAAAAGGAAGAAGCGAGTATAAATATGCGAAGGAGAGGGGCAGTGAAGCGACGGTTGAGTGACCTAGGGCAAACCCTACCCTAGGAAATTCAAAAATCGGGCAAGTGATTAGACATAAAGTTGTCTGTTGTCAGAGCACGAAGGCCGAGGTCAGACACGTGGCGCGGCATATGCACGGCGTGGCGAGACGCGGAAGATCAATCGACAGGCGGCTTTCGATGAACGCAGGCGATAACGGGGGCGAAAGACAGCCGCTTGTCAGCAGAGCGCCCTGAAGGAAGGCGGGACGACCAAAAAGAGAGTGAACAGCACAATCGCTTGAAGCTTTCTAGTTTATAAAAGGATTGTGATCAGCATAGGGGGTGGATAGCACAATCCTTCGCATTCAGGTTCATAAAGAAAACTGGTAGATCAAAAGAAGGTGAACAGCGCAATTGCTTGAAGTCTGCCACGACCAAAGGAAAACATAACGATTGAAAGGGGGTGGACAGTGCAATTACTTGAAGTATTCCAGATTGATGTCCAAAGAAAAGCGTGGCGATCAAAAAGGGGGTGGACAGCGCAATCGCTTATACTTTTAGTTTATGGCACAGGGTTGTGAACCGTACAGAATGTAGGCAGCGCAATCATACGTGTATGTAAAGAGCGTGACGATCAAAAAGGGGGTGGACAACGCAATCGCTTAGCAACCAGGAGGAATCACAGTCCAAAAAAGATGAGACTACTAGGAATTGTCAGAAAATCACGGATCTACGGCGGCCAGGGGGCAAAAGGGTAGACAACGGCTAATGTAAGGACCGCTCAACTATCGAATAACAAAAACAGTATCCGCCAAAATCCGCAGCTTTTCACGACTAAGGGGCAATTGTTGGGCCATAGCTGAGCGGTATTGTTTTTGAAGGCCCACGGAAGGCCCAAGGAGTAAGGCCTGTCAAAGGGGCCCAGGAGAGGATCACATGGGGAACAGAGAAAGGAAGGCGGCCACTCTAGGACAGGACAGGACAGGTAGTAGGACGCCTGACACAAAGAGCCGTTACGGGCAGAAGGGGAGATCCTCCGAGGATACTCACCACGAATACTGCAGGACTGAGCATTAATTGCCCGCCGTAGGCGGTCTAGATAAAGCAGGGTCTGATCTAGGACGCCTGACATAACATTTAATGCTCGAAGTCCAGGCCAACCCACTATAAATACATTCCTATCTGCATTGATGGTAACCCAACTACTCTCTCTCTCTCTAAACATTACTAAATCTCCTATTCTCTCTCTAACTTAAGCATCGGAGGGTGTCCGGGGTGACCGCCCACGGACCCTTGTCTTGCAGGAGCTTGGAGTCCCCCGTCATCTGGAACAGACGCCTTGCTCGCTTTCCACAAACCGCCTAGAACTTTCTAGGCTCAAACAAGTTTGGTCTGGTGTGGTTCGGTAAGGACCGGACCATTGCACACCCCTAATTCTAGTGTACAAACTTGCAATTTACCCCATTACTAAACATATCACATGATAGAAAACAGAAAGAATCAAAACGTGGCCTAAGTGTTAACATTGGATGCATTTTTATTGGGTTAAAGACACATTTGGTCACTGAGATTACAAAATCGGGACACGTTTAGTCACTAGAAAAAATTAATATCAAATTTGGTCACTACAATTACTAAAACTGGACACATTTAGTCACTCGCCGTTAGTCTCCGTCCAACTCCGTTAATGAAGTCCGTTAAGTGCTGATGTGGCAAACAGAATTGCCTAATCAGCCGGATATAACCCAACAAAAATAAAACCCGACCCGCCACATCATTAAAACCAACCCAACCCAACCCATGACCCAACCCCACCAACCCTTCTTCCTCCTTCCTCCCACTCGCCGTTTGCCCGATTCACGCTCTCGAACCAGAAGCAAAGCAAGCAAGCATGTGCGTCATAGCAAACCATCCCTTTCAAGATCCACCGTCGTCGTCGTCTTCGGCGATTCGTTGGAGTCGAGGGAAATTGCTGGGCAAAGGAACCTACGGCAAGGTCTACATCGGAATTCCAAGAACACCAAATTCGCCTCTCATGGCAGTGAAATCTGCGCCGGAATACAACGCCAAGTTTCTGAAATTGGAGCACCGGATTCTTGCCGAGTTCCGCCTCAACCCAGCAATCATACAGTGCTTCGGCGCTCAAATAACCCAAGAGGACGGCGGACCCAGAATCTACAACTTGTTGTTGGAATACGCCCCTTGTGGCTCCCTCTCCGATTTAATCGCTAGGTACCGCCGCCTCCGCGGCCGTCGCGGGATTCCGGAGAGCGAAATTAGGGTTTACACTCGAACGATACTGGAGGCGCTGTCGTGCATCCACTCCAGGGGATACGCGCACTGCGACATCAAGCCGGACAACATTCTGGTGTTTCCCCCATCGGAAGAAGCAGAATCGGTGGGTCGGCTCAAGGTGGCGGACTTCGGGGCGGCGGTGGACTTGTCAGAGCAGAGCGGAGGAGCGGAGAATTTGGGGATTAGGGGGGCGGTGAGGTACATGGCGCCGGAGGTGGCGGTGGCGGGGAGGGTGACGACGGCGATGAATGTTTGGGCGCTGGGGTGCACGGTGGTGGAGATGGTGACAGGGAAGCGGCCATGGAGGGGTTTGGAGGAGGAGGACGTAATGGCGCGAGTCGCCGATGGGCGGCATCCGAAGATTTCGGCGGGATTGTCGGCGGAAGGTAGGGATTTCTTGAATGAATGTTTTGTTGTGAATCGTTTGAAGCGAGCGACTGCTAATCTCAGATGCAAGTGGGGTTGGGTCATGGGTTGGGTTGGGTTTAATCACGTGGCGGGTTATAATGACGTGGCGGGTCGGGTTTTATTTTTGTTGGGTTATATCCGGCTGATTAGGCAATTCTGTTTGCCACATCAGCACTTAACGGACTTCATTAACGGAGTTGGACGGAGACTAACGGCGAGTGACTAAATGTGTCCAGTTTTAGTAATTATAGTGACCAAATTTTATATTAACTTTTTCTAGTGACTAAACATGTCCCGATTTTGTAATCTCAGTGACCAAATGTGTCTTTAACCCCATTTTTATTTTAAACAATCTTCATAAATTTTATGCAGCGTTTCCTTTCAACGCTACACAGATTGAGTTGAGTGCTAGATGATGCTCCAAAAAATATTTCATAGGTTTCTAGCCCACCAAATCAACTTATGCTTAGTATCTAATTTTAAATAGAAATCAACCAAACATGGTCCGCTGTCATTAGAGCATAGGTGGCCGTTCATGACTTTTTAATATCGCATCAGTCCAGCAATATCCTTTCTACACATGCGTTCACCTGGAAACCGAAACAACCAATCCAAGCCGCCGGCTTTGTGGACTCAAACAATAGAAGTACCCTCCTAATGTTCTACCTTGATTTCAACCATCAAACTGGGGTATTTTTTACTTCAATATGAACACAAAACGGGGAGACAAAAAAACATTGGCCGGTCTTCTTGTTTAACAGCATTTGTTCTCCAGGCATGAAATGATACCCTTCCCGCAGCTGAAGAACCAGAGACTTGAGTCCGAATGAACACTAACGTTGAAATGAGAGAGAGTAAGATCCAGTGTTTGGATCCTTCACAGATTTGAAGTTGTCGACGCTCATCCCAAATCGACCGAGCACAGAGTTCCCCATCTCTTTCAGCTTCTCTGCTCATAATAAGATGAAAGCCAGCCAAGTATTACAACCTCATCATGCATTGTAGTCAATCAAACAAGGTAGTAGAGATCACAAAGAGTCTTTCTGCAAAGCAAGACAAACAACTATAGATATATATTTAAATTTGTCAGGAAATTTTTTTCTCCGTCCATCCAGCTTACCAATCATCTCTTCCTTCAATTTCTCACGCTTTTCTGCTGCCAATGGCTCCAGCCGAATCATAGATTTACGAGCAAAGTCGTTCGACAGATCTAACTCCAAAATCTTTTTCATATCTGCAGCAGGTACATACATAAAGAGAGGGATTGAGAACACTTAAATTACTTTATTACATATCAAGTATTGTGGATTTAAAGTCAAGATATTGGGTAACCAGAAATAGCTTCCTCAAAGTGTGTAAGCTTTTCATGGGCCTCTCCTCTTCTCATAAAAGCTTTAATATATGAAGGGTTTATTTCTAATGCTTTTGTGCATTCCTTGATTGTTTCCTCATATTTCCCCTGCATCATCATGTTCACAAAACTTATACTAATTGTCTGGCAATGCATATAACCTCCTCAATCTTTCCAAGGGCACAAAAGACAATAATACTGAGAGGCCTGGAACGAGTACATGAAAAAACAAGGCACACAGAAGAATTTTCACGCATAAAAAAGATACAAAACTACAGCAAATAGTGCCAAGATAATGTTTCTGAATTCGACTACTTGTATAGCTTCACAACCAAGCCTGCTTTCTAAAGCAGAAGAATGTCCTAATCCTATGTGCATAATACAGAGGAACAATGCAGAGAGAAAATGTAACTGAATCCAGCCCAACTTTTGTAACAACCAACTCTGCTTTATAAAGCAGACGACAATATTGTAGTATTTGATGTAAGAGCAACTTCAAAAAGTGACCAAATATAAGCATGATGATCATTGTTGTCTCCTTCATTAAGGTCCATTTGCCACATCACTGTTTCTAAGTATGCTTTAACAACAGACAAGAGAACATAAACTTCACTTCAAACTTATTACCATCACACTAATCTAGACAAAGCCAAATCTATGCAGGCATGCAATGACACGTTAATGAGAAGGAATGTCATGAATTTCAATCATTCTAAAAGCCGATTGAAGTATGGATTTCAAAGAATCACTAACCAACACAGAGAAGTGAATGCCTATAAGAAAATAACAAATAGTAGATTGTCATTGACAAAGAGTTGATTTAGAAAAAATGGCATTACACGTGTACCCCCGGAACATGGATGCCATTTAGAAAATGTAAGCAACTTGCAACTAGAAATGGAGATGGAGATAAAAACAGGGTGTGAAAAGCCAAGCGAACACCAATTCCCAATGGACTAGATGAATAATTACCAGCTTCAAAAAGCACACAGAGCGGTTTGTATGGCATATGGACCTGAGCTCCGAAGAAGAGGGCAATTCAGGGGCAACTTGTAGGGCAACATCATACTGTGCTAAAGCCTCCTCATACTTCTTATCCACAAATAGTCTATTGCCTTCCAATTTAGCATCATTGGCTTGCACTAACGCTTTCTGCTTCATCGAGAAATGACAGTCTATAAGTATTCACACAAGACGTATAAATGGAGAAGCTTTCTTCTTCAAGCAAACATATCTGCCAATCAGCTTGCCTGTACAAATGCCATCAAACTCCCAAATAGTAATCCTATGCTAAGATAACCTCGTCAATCTAAATATCAGAACCCCAAAATAAAATTGCAATCCTAATGTCAGGCAATCAAAACGAGAGGGTCAAACTGAATTTGGGGGGAGTAAGAGAACCTGCTTTGCTTCTTCATCAGTTGCAGCATCTTCCTGGTGCTGCTTCATGTCCTGATTTGCTTCATCATTGTCGCTCACATCACGTTCACTCGCAGTTTCAAAGCCATCTGAGTCATTCTCTGCGCCTCCAGATGGTGTTGATGCTGTGGCAGTGGCTGAATCTGTGGTGGTCTCTGCAGGCACTGCTTTGGGCTTCCCTGAAGCGACCTCCTCAGCCGCTGTTTCTTCTTTTTTGTCTTCCTGAGGCACTTCTTCAATCAAGGCCATACCTTCTGCAGTGAACAACCAATTATTAGAATCACAAAAACGTATCTCTCCCCCAACTGAAAGATCTCATACCTCCAAAGTTCATTGAAACAATAACCAAACTGTAGAAACAAAATCAGGCCTACCACTGGTAAGCTCAAACTAAAACAAACAATAGCATCCTACATTCCTACTAGCTTTCTGACAGCAAAGCTATGGAACATCAAGTCAACAAACAATAACTATCCATCCTAAGAGATGGACACTAGTAGTTTAAAAGAGAAGCGAGCTCTTTAACCTCCAAATCGATCAAAGAATCTCCTCTCAATAAAGTCGCCACAAACTTCTGTGCAAGTTGAGCAACTTGCTAAATCAATCAATCACAAGGGTTTTGGTTGCGGCAATTCCGGCATCCAGCGATTTCAATTCAAGCATCAATTCACAAACAGTAAAACGAACAGATTGGCTCGCAATTACCAGTGTGACTCGAGAGCAATAAGAATAACGGGTAGCTTCGCAATGACGGGGAAGAACAATAGATATGGTTCTCTAGCTAGGTCTTTCTTACGGCCTCGCGAAGAAATGAAAACTCCACTCCCCAATAAATTTCTCTTCCTACCTCGCAGAATCCGACTGTTCCGTAGCTTCGTCTCCAAGGTTATTACTGCAAGTACCGCGTCAGACACCTCGGCCAAATCCCTAGATTTGGCGGAAAAAGTGGAAAAAAAGAGGAAAAAGGGAAAAAGGAAAAAGTAGAAAAAAGGGGCCTGATTTTGTTTCTACAGTTTGGTTATTGTTTCAATGAACTTTGGAGGTATGAGATCTTTCAGTTGGGGGAGAGATACGTTTTTGTGATTCTAATAATTGGTTGTTCACTGCAGAAGGTATGGCCTTGATTGAAGAAGTGCCTAGATTTGGCCAATACCACACATATTCCCTCTAAATTCCAAAGTTTGATACTGCAGTAGTATGTACACCACAGCAACATCACAGCAGCAAAAGTGTCTACTTAGTTACCTCGTTAATGAAGGGCAACTAGATTCTCTTGACAGAGGAAAAGGAAAAGGTGAGTTAATGTAGCTTCCACCTCTGATTTCAACAAAGTAGAACATTTGACAGTTGGAAAAAAAGAATACCCCGGGGATAGCAGAATGACAATGGAGCAAGTAAATTAATCATTCTTTTGAATAACAGCAAAACCAGAGAAGTAATATTGCGTATCCAAGGATTCCATCAGTCATTTAATCCAAAAAAGTTACATAACTAGAAAAGATCATGTTTCATTTATCAGCTTCCCTAACCCCGAAACCATAAAGCCTAGGATTCCAAGATTGGCCGAGAAATCTATCATTCAGCCTTCTAGAGTGCGCATAAATCTGTTTTCACCTTGCCTAAAATCACAGTGGAAAAGGTTGAAGAACAAATGGAAGCGATCAAGAGCTGTTTCAGAGACAAGGATGCAAAGGTGGAGGAGATGAAGCAGCGAGTTGGAGCTCTGGAGAACTCTGTTGCAGAAGCAGAGAAGAAGAAGAGCTTCTGGGCTATGGTTTCATCTGTGACTACAGTGGTGGCTGCGGCTTCACTTGCCTTTGCTGTTAAAGTGCGTTAGAAGTGGGCAGCAGAAGCCACAGCTCTCTTAGTTTCTGTTTTTCATAGGAACTAATGAGAAGGTATCATCTTATCTACCACTCTAAACGTCTCTCTAATTGGTGCTGGTTTTGCTAAAGCCAAGTTGCTTACTTGTTAACCTCTGGCGTTGTTGTGTTCCCTTAACACAGTAATGAGATTTCATCTAGTCCCTTAACACAGCCAGCTGAATCATTGCATCGACTCAACTAGGGGTGGCTATACGGTCCGGTCCGGTTAAATTGGCCCAAATTGATCCGGTCCAGTCCGGTTTTTTTGAAAATATAAGGACCGAAGATTGGATTGGATACAGTCCGGTCTTGATCCGGTCCGGTCTTGACCCGGTCCGGTCCCAATTCGGTCTTGGTTTTATATTGAGATTGTGAGAATTTGAGTGGCCTAAGGCCTAAAAGGGTGAGGAGTTGGTTAAGTTTTGTACTAAGTCCAAAGGTTTGTGACCGTTTATGCAAATTACCCTTAAGTTTTTTATATTGAGCTCTCTTATCCGGTCTTTATCCGGTTTTTTACCTCAAATCTAAGCCCAAAGATTGGATTGGATTGTTTACTATCCGGTCCCGGTCCGGTCTCGGTCCGGGTTATACGGTCCGGTTTCCGGTTTTTCATCCGGTCCCGGTCCAAATAGCCACCCCTAGACTCAACATTGATATGGATATGATACTACCTACTGTACTTAAACCATGAGGACAGTAATGGTTAACAAGATAACAGCAATACCCACAACCCAAATTGACCATAGCTGACGACCTGGTTTGTCCACGAAAACACCCAGAAGACCAAACCCAGACCACATACATATATGGGTAACCAAAATACCAAACTCAGACCACACATATATGAGCAAATCCACAAAAATCAAAGCAGTAATAGTAGCCAGAGACAACCAATCTTGGGGCAAGGGAATGGATCAGGTCAGTAACATTATGGTGAGTAATCATGAGTAACCCGTCCACATCAGCATGACATCAGCATCCTCTCTCTCATGGAAAGCCTTTAATTTTTCCCTCTTTAATCTTTGACGGACGATTTCTCGCTCATTTTAAGTCGAAATTTAATTTTTTTGCACAGTTAGATCAGATTAATTGTGCTCTTCAAAATGATATCCACTTTAATATATTTTTCGAACAAAAAAAAATTGAGCCATTTATTACCAGCCTATACCATATGGTATTGACTGGTATTGAAATAAAAGCATACCTATGTTTTGAAAAACGTATCATGGTGGTATGAACAAACCAATACCGTAGGATGGTTGAATACATGATAGTAGAAGTATATTAATTGTAATTTACGACTTTTAACATTGTATACCACACAATACCAGGGTGGTATTGTATGGTATTTTTTGGTCCTGTAATTTGTTCACCCAGAAATTTGTAGATCCAATAGATCATGATGAACTCGTCCCTTCTGTGCAAACGTTTTCAAAAACGAATTAAAAACGAAGAAGATACCATACAATACCACCCCGTACCAGGGTGGTATTGTATGGTATTGTGTGGTATTTTTTTGTCCTGTAATTTGTTCACCCAGAAATTTGTAGATCTAGTAGATCATGATGAACTCATCCCTACTGTGCAAACGTTTTCAAAAACGAATTAAAAACGAAGAAGATACCATATGGTATGCAGTTGGTACCGAGAGGCCAGAACTTTTTTTCCTAAAAAAATATTGAAAATTGATCTCATTTTGTAGAGCACGGTGAACTCGTTCCATCTGTGCAAAAAAAATTAAAATCCGAGTTAAAACGAAAAAGATATGAGTCAATTAAGAAAGCTAGTGAAAATAAAAATAGCCTTTAATTCTCCATCCTTAGATCTGGATTTTCTAAATGAAGGGTCCAGATTTGGTTATTGATGGGTGCATAACCATGGGTTATGCACCCTATCTTGAGCCCTGAAACAGAGAATGAAAGAAGGAAACCGAAGAAACATACCTGTAATTGATGCAGATTTTCGACCAACAACTTCTTCTCCAAGGTCCTGGTGGCGACGAGGTATCGTGAAGGGATTCTCCAACCGCGCCGCCGACGAGGAAGCACAACAACTAGGCTGGACGCCCGGATGGAAGTCGCCGAGAATCGGTGGAGATTTTAGGCTGTAGGTTTCCCTTTCAGTCGATGAGAAGAATGGAGAAGAGGTATAGTGAAGCGGTGAAGGGATTCTCCAACCGCGCCGCCGACGAGGAAGCGCGACGATTGGGCTGGACGCCCGGATGGAAGTCGTCGAGAATTGATTGAGATTTTAGGGTGTAGGTTTTCTTTCAGGGCGAGAAGAATAAAAAAGGAGAAGACCCGTCCCCATTAATTTCTAGTTTCTAAGGGTCTGTTTTCCGGGTCAGATGGGTTTTTTAAAGCGCGTGGGTCTCAGTTCCCCCAGCCAGTGTTTTTGGCGGAAGGAGTTTTTGGGGGCCAGCAGGCCTAGCATGCCTTGTCTTTTTCTGAGCAAGATTTGATTCTTTAGCTTCAAATTTCTTGCTCTTTGCAATTATGGTTGGAGCACTCCCTTGGAGATGGTCTGAGAATTGAAAAATAAGAAGCGGCATATTATGAAATATAAAAAATAGAAAATTTATGGTTAAATCGTGATTCAAACATTTCATATCAATGAAATCGTTCATGAGTAGAATCGTCGATACAATACGGTTTTGCAAACACCGGCTCTCTATTTCAGGACTGTACTCTAGGGACAAAAGGCCCCCTTGCTTCAGCCCTTTACCAGCCACAAAACATCCATAAAAACATAGTGATACAAATCATTGGAGTAGTAACGTAGGCTTTAATTAACATAGCAAAGCGATTAGGGAACTTTTGTAGCCAACATGATATTAACCAAGAAACCCTATTATACATAGTCGAAGTCATCATGAAGTCAATACTAACAGTACATCTAGCTAAAATGAGTTTATTGTAATAATCCTTGACTAATTAAGAAGCAAGCAGAATCTTATAACTTATCAATCTTCCCATTACAAATGAAAACTGAGAATGTCCAATAGCTCTAGGCATAACAAGGAAGAGAAAATTTGCTAACAACTTAGATATTCCCCTATACAGCTTATTACAACAAGAAATTGGTCTACCATCTTTAATACGTTTATCATGTGAAACCTTAACAACTAAAGTAAAGATAACAGAATTTACCTCCCTCGTTATGTGCCTAGAATTGGAAAAAAAAAATTGAAGAACCACCTCTTCTACCTCTTTACCAAAGACCTCTCATCCAGATTTATAGAAGACAGTGGGAAGTTCAGAAGCATAAATAGTAAAATACGGTATGTGAAAGTTGCCTAAAAAATACGTACGGGTATTTTATGTCGTCTCTAAGCTAAAGTTACGTTTAATAGTACGTTAATAGTAATAAATAGATAAAAAGTAATTATTTTAAAAATAAATAAATATATAAATAATAGTAAAGTTCATAATTTAATTCATTAAATACGGATGTCAAACGTGTTATACGGGTTTTATACGTGTTTAGTACGGGAGTCATCCAATGAACGGGAAAAAAATGAAAACGCTTGGTAATAATAAGGATACAAAAGTTCTAAACGAATAAAGTACATACGGGTACATATACGTGTACTAAACGGAGTATTTACTAACTATGTTCAGGAGTAGGAGCCTTGTGAGCGACTGAGTGTGCATCCCAAACAATACTTCCTTAATTTTCTCCCTTGTTACTTTTGCTTCCAGCTCACCGCACTCCTCAAGAGACAACTACAATGGCAATAAATAGTGAAAGTTGCCCACGGACTTCTGCTCAACTTGACCATTTTGTTGAGCCACAAGTTTCTTGTTGAAATTCAAAGCCACATGCACCATTTCATTCACATTAGTAATGACTTTACTTGCACGGTCTACTAATCACACGATACGTTGTTGCTAAGTTTGAACACACACATATTTATGGAAGTATGTTGTATTAGTATCCTCGTCTTTAACCCATTGAACTCTAGAATCCTGCATGTAGAACATCCCTTCAACGGTTTGATCTAGTCGACAAACTTCAACCAACTCAACTTCATTAGCCACGCTCTTTGTAGTTGGATTAGATAATACTTCCATCTGAGCCTTTCAAGATTGTATTCAGCACATCGAGCATGGGAAGAAACATCTGAATAAACTGTTGTATTCAACACCTTCAACCCTTTTTTGACTTGCCTTAGTCTTCCATAGAATACATAGTATGGATATCAATACACCAAAGTGCCCCATGCAAGACTCAAAATGTCGTCATCTAACTAAAGAGGTTTGTCATTTATTTCTTTTGAAATGATTGATTTGCTTTTCAAAGATATATGATAGAATCTCATGCTGTTTTATCATAATGGATAAAACAATATTTAGAATAGAGTATAGGGACAGAGATGAGTCAGATCCACACATTTGTTAACTTGGTTCAGCCAATGACGGCTTTACATCCACATCCTAGAGATAGTATGCATTATTCATAGAGACTCTAACTTTCATTAATAATAGACACGGTAACTAAGAAATTAAAAACAACTATGATGCGATGTGTCAAGAACCAAATATATATGCAACCCCACACCTAGCTAATGCAACTTACCACTCACTAAACCAAGCTAACATTCTTAGTTTAGCTTGATTGAAGAAAAACTACCCAGTGAAACTTCCAAAGTGAATTAGAAGTTGAGTAATCATAGCAGCATGTTTTGCATTGATGGAAGAAGAGGGAGTTTGTCATGATGAATAAGTATTTGATGGGAAAAATCATGTGAACGGCTATTTGCCGCCAACCAAATTGCTATTTGCCGCCAACCAAAAAAAAAAAAAAAGTATATATGTACATCTTTGGTTAAGAAATTTCACAATCTACAACATATCCAACTTTCAGAAAACGTATTGAATCAGAAAAAATCGACGCTCGCCGGAAAAGTCGCCGGAAAACCATCGGGAAAACCCATCCTCGACGTAAACTGCGGACACGCATCCATCAATCATCACTAAGCAGGTGCGTCAACCTCCCGTCGTCCTCAATCGTCGGAAAACAAGTAAGTTTACTAAGTCCGGCAAGTTTTTCAATTTTCCGGCAATTTTTCCAGTTTTTCGGCGAAAAAACACGGTGGGCCGAAAAAATTTTGTGGCCGGAACGCCGCCGGGCCGAAAGAATTTTTCGGCCGGAGCGACGCCCAGCCGAAAAATTCTTTCGGCCCGGCGGCGTTCCGGCCGCAAAATTTTTTCGGCCGGTCGCCGAACGCGCCGCCAGAAAAATTCACGGCGGCGCGTTCGGCGACCGGCCGAAAATATTTTGCGGCCGGGGCGACGACGGGCCGAAAAAATATTTCGGCCGGGCGTCGCGCCGGCCGCAAAAAAGTTTCGGTCCGGCGGCGCACCGGCCACAAGATTTTTTCGGCCCGGCGACGCACCGGCCGCAAATTTTTTTCGGCCCACCGTGTTTTTCGCCGGAAAACTGGAAAAATTGCCGGAAAATTGAAAAACTTGCCGGAAAAAGTAAACTTACTTGTTTTCCGACGATTGAGGACGACGGGAGGTTGACGCACCTGCTTAGTGATGATTGATGGATGCGTGTCCGCAGTTTACGTCGAGGATGGGTTTTCCCGATGGTTTTCCGGCGACTTTTCCGGCGAGCGTCGATTTTTTCTGATTCAATACGTTTTCTGAAAGTTGGATATGTTGTAGATTTTGAAATTTCTTAACCAAAGATGTACATATATACTTTTTTTTTTTTTTTAGTTGGCGGCAAATAGCAATTTGTTTGGCGGCAAATAGCAAGCCCCAAAATCATGGTGGCAAAATAGAGCATAATATAGAACTAGCTTATTACCCTGCCCGTTGGCCGGATTACTGTATGTTACCCACTTGTGGAATGGGATAGAAAGCAAGTGAGAGTGAAGGGATTGGGATTCCACTTGATTAGGACCGACCCACTAATCCAATTCTTCCCGACCCGCCCCAACCTACAGGGTCAGAAAGAGTCAATAAGAAAATACGAACGGGGAGGATTAGTCATATATCTTGACTCTTCAGAAGTGGGTCAAACAGGATCAAGGTTGGGTGAGGGCAATTTTTAGCGCTCAACAGAGTTATGGGTTGAATACCTTTACTTAGGCCTAGAAATTGGTGCTGATGCAGACTGCAGTTTTTATTATACCATCATCAATCATCATTGAATTAGTCCTGGGCATCCCTCCCCGTTGTCGGTCTGAATTCTAATGATGGCTTCATTCCTTGCACCAGCCATATCTGCGAGTTGCCATCTCGAGCATGATTTGCCTATGTACAAATAATACAATTAGAGTATGAAAATGAATTCAATGAAAAGGAAAAGAGAATTCTATCACATGCCAATAAATACACACATAATAGTTGAAGCTAAGTGAAAGTCATTACTCGCACATCAATTCTAAAAAATTACAGACTAAACATTGGCTAGAATGGCACTGAAACTACCAAGAATCATGGACGAAACAACTTGTCAAATTAAATAATCCTTATACTGAAACTACCTTCTAACTTGAAATAAGACATGATCACAGTTCATAGCTCTCTTCTCACTATGAATTGGTTGCAGCTCGTCCTTATCACTGCCTCTCAAGCTCAATTCAAACAGAATAGAGACCGTTATGTAAGATAACCATATTCTTACTGATCATAATTCCTTTCTTCACTCCATTTTTGTCGTAGAGAAGAGTTATCCCCCTCTCCTGCATTTCCCTTTCCCCCTCTCTTCTCCCTCTTCTTCACAAACCGATCCCTAAACCAGCAACAACAACACAAAAATAGCCTTCGCCTCAGACAGGACTGCAGAAGCAAAATTTTCTAAAATCAAACTAAATTTTTTGAAGCAGACTCAACCACGAAAAAAGAGTAAAGCAACAATGCAGTAGAACCCTAAATTTAACTACAATCAAACACATATGAGCAAGATTTTCGATTTGTCTGAGAGTTAACTACACGGAGAGAACAATTGATGCATAATTGAAATGCTCCAAGCAAGTTGAAGGCAAACCATAACTTTAGAATTTGGTCATTATAATAACCTTCAAGTATTGATGCTTCTTAGAACTATCATGTCCAACCCCCACTTATACAACTACGTAGCCATAGTAATTAGTTGTATAATGAGAAATATTACAAAGAAAACTACATAAACAATCAATGTAAGTAAATATTAAAACTAACAATTGATAAAACTTAAAATCTCTCTATTGGTATAAATGTATCTATTAGTAACTACTATGCAATCGAGTATATATGATTTTTAGGCACTGAATAAGAAAAGTATAGATGGCTCACAAATGAAGACGTAGCAACTGAAGGTAGCACACAAAAACCAAAAATAGAAAAAGAGATAAGAAAAAAGGCGAGAAAAAGTCAAACAAAGAAAAAGCCCACATAGGAATACCTCGCTAGTTTTAGGGACTCTCTGCCACAACAAACAACCTTCTTAAAAATCTAACACCCTGAGACATCAAA